GGCTTTTTAAGTCCCTGGCAATGCAGAATGTAAATACGTAGCACAGTATTGGAAAACGCACAGCTGCATTAGAACCATCAGCGAACTGACTGTTTCTGTAGCAAAGTCTATTGGTTATTCTGTAGCCAGTTAATTTGCCTTTTCTGTCCTCAATTTTCTTTCAGTCTTTTACATTGTAGTCAATTTTTTATTGAGGAACTTGCTCTAAATCTCTTAAACCCATCAACTGTGGAATAACTGTGATCTGTAAACCAAAATCCCCTTTGACTGTGGCAGCATGTATATGAGGCTCTGTCCAAATATGGAAGTTATAGCATGTCCCTGAGTGCTGCCTAACATCAAAAATGGTATTTCTAATTCGGGGCTCCGTGCCAAGCACTTCTGTATGTTTTTAATTATTGGGAACATGCCTGCCTTCTGTTTTCATTTCCTGACATTAATGGATATCAGTTGTAGCTCAATTATGAAGCACAAGTTACTCACTTGGAGTGGTTTAGCCTCATGGTCCATCAAAGTAACTAGGATCAGAGGAGATGCACCTTTAAAAATGCTCAGAGGAAACAAGAAGTGCAAATTATATCTGTGGTTATTAATCACTGGAAAGCGCACAAGCACTGATTACAGTAGGCTCTTGTAGCTGGTTTATTATGACTTCTCTCCCTAACTTAAGCCTTGATTCAATAGTCATTGATGTAAATGGAAATCTTTCCATTGTCATCAACTGGATATGGATCCACCCATTAATGATAAGCCTCTAAGTAGGGCTCCTGTGTGCCACTGATTCTGGATTCCTGTTAAGTATTGCACACTAATGCTCCACAGAGATTGGATGCAGCAAGCCCCAACAGGCAGGAGGTATCAGCTGGCATAAAGTAAGTCTTAAGTCTGGAAGAAAGTGGGAGAGTATTAAACAGATAGTGGACCACTGGCTTCTATACATTCGGGCTGTATTGCATAATAGCCTCAAAACTGGGCATTTCAAAAAGGGAGAGAGAGAGAGAATTACCACAAAGGAAAAAAGCAGCATTTATCCTGTTGATACTCTGAAAGAAATACAAAACTAAACTGAAGTGGCTTCTATACCATGTAGTCAAAATACATTTTGATGAAAAGAAAATGTAATTCAGATTTTTTTTTTAAAGAAAATATTTAAAAGAACACATTTATTTTTCCTCATTAACCAACTCCTTTATTTTCACCTTCCAGGTAACAGTACGAGACCAACCTCTGGTGTGCAAGTAGCTGATCTTTCTACCAAGGATGTCACAAACTGTGGCACTACCAGGAGGAAAGCATCCCAACTAGGTAGCATAGATATATGTATTTATCTTGGCTCTTTGGAGGTCTCTTGGGAGTACGATAGCACTCCAGGCAGTACTTAGCCCAAATTTCCAAATAAACCACCATCAGTACATTAAAGGCTTTATATACACGAAACCTTTATATAAGATATCAGATTCACCCAAAGAACCTTGTCTACTGGTCAGGAGTTTACTCAAATTGGAAATGAAGCTACTTAAAGTCATGGTTTGCCCTGAAACCAGACTAAACTCCACTGGTGCAAGTTGTGGCTTACAGGGGCTCTGACTGTCTACGTGATGGCTTCACCTTACTTCATCTACATCAATAGCGGTAACTGGGCCAATTCCCATAAAGAGAAAACCTAACCTCATTTTTGTCACCAGTAGAGGACAGACAAATCCCCACTCTTTTTCATTCTCTCCCCACTCTCAGCACATCTGTCCCACATGGCACAGGATTAATAGTTCTTCTCCAGAGATGGGGCTGTCTTAATGTAAATTACCTGAAGTGATAATATGCTGCAATAGTGAATCAATCTCAATAAAAATATAAAACTTAAAGGCTAAACTGATTTAAGCCCTCAGATGCTCAAAAGGAGGCAATCTAAATGCATGCATCTCCCTGCAGGTTTTTGGCGAGAGAATTCAAAACACTTGTCATCTTCCCCAAAGTAAGCTTGGGTTGGTAAAATTATACATATACAAGCTATCAAAAAGTACTTTTGCACGTTTCGGTTTCCTCTCAGACAATGCTGAATTGTCATAATTTGCTACCTAACAATTCCTTTCTAGCTCTCTTCCTCACTGATTTAGGGGAAAATCAAACCTGTTTTGTTTTGCCACAGCAACTGAGAGTTCACAAGGTAGGAAACCTATTGCACTAGGAACAAACTATGACATACTTCCAAGAAGAATCTCCTCTTTCCCAAATAGGTCTTCATCTCTGACACTGCTGCTGTGGGAACCTTATGCTAGATGTATGTGGTCTTCAGTAATCAGAAACAATGTCTATATTCTATTATTTAGGGAAAATGCTTACTTTTTTAGGGTACAGTATTTAAACCAATGACAATAGAGCAGGGTGGAATTTTAAAAATAGTCTCAGATACTGACCTCAAACATCTCAGATGAGGTAATTTCTCAGCAAGCTAGTCAAGGAGCTCAGAAATTAGAAACTAGGCTGTTGACCATCACATGGCCTTAGTTTATTCCCACACAGCCAGACGTGTTTCTCAGGTTTTAAACACTCAGGGCCAATGCAAATCATACACCAGATCTGAATTTGACCCCAAAGAACTCAGTAAATCTCAGCAATTGCTACAACTCCTTCAAATTCAATCCCAAACCTCCTAATAGGATACAAATCTTCAGACAGAGTGGTTAGGATAAAGCAAAAAGTGTGGTTTTTCTCTTCAAATGATCAGTGGTTTATAAAACATCCATGTAGTATTGCATCCAGTGTCATCACAAGAACACAGGAAATGTAACATTGCAGTTTCCTAAGCAAGAACTACGTGACATAGCTAAAATAATGGATTCATTACAAAAGAAGAATGATGATCATGCACAAAATTAAAGACAACAACATGAGAAACTAGCATCTCATCTCCAACTGCTGTAACACACAACAAGCCCTTATTTCTAAGAAGGAAACAATATGTATAAGCAGCCATTAGCTTGCATTCACAATCTCAATAACTGAAACGTGTTCATATGAAACATGCTCTTCATTTAGCCAAAGGGTTCACGCTGTTATTCAGAGATCCGCCATGAGTCGCTCAGAGGTTAACAGACGCTATGTCCTCCTTTCTCCTGACACACTGCAGAACTGCTAAGGTTCATGTTGGGGGGGGTGGAAAAAAACATTTTCCAATTTTCCTTGTAAAGGCCAGGCCTGAAAAATGATGGTAGATCCTGATACACTGTTCTCTCTTTCTCCTTGCAAGAAATGAGCCTCTTTTCTGGACCAAATCCAGATATGAAAGTCTGGGAATTTTATAGTGTAGGTGAATAAAGCCAAGTTCCTCTTGCAAGTTTTAGTAACACACCCACAGTGGCAAACAAAAATCTATTCCTGTAGAAGCAAGAGCAGGAAGAGCTTGCTGCAACATATGAGAACAGAGCAGGATCACATGGTTGTGAATAAAAATCCATCAGGAGTGGGTGACAGACTTGACTGTACTGTACTTGACTACAATGTATAGGATTCTCTCCCGCTTGCATCGTCACTCACTTTAAAAAAAAAGAAAGACTTGCTAAAAAATTTGAATTTGAGTTAAAAAAGTAAAAGTTTTCACTGCTGTCAACAGCGTCAAGGCTGTCAAAGGCCCAATTCATTTGTGGATCAGCAGCTGTAAAAACAGCTGCAGAAATAGACTCCCCAGCTCTTCCTTTGGTGTGCCTTGATCACGTGTCCACATCTTGGCTATCAATGTAAGAACTGAGTTTCTGAAAGTGCCATATGATGCCTTTTTATTACAGCAAGGAGGAAAAAAAGTTAATGTCTCCAGGTCTAGTGAGAGAAGTTCAGAGATGCCCAGCTAAGGGCCGAGGGCTAAATGTTGAAACAGGCCTCTTGGTGGCATTGTCCTGGCATTACAGCAGTTTATATATGTTTCAGAAAGAGAAAGCATATATTAAAGAGACTCTCTCAATTCTTGCTGCCTCTTAGTGAAGTTAAACTCATTTTCTGGCAAATTTTCCTAAGACCATGACTAAAATCACATGTGCTTGAATGGATTTTTTGTTTTAAGTCGCTACCTATACAATCTTCTATAGATTTCATCTTAAAACTTTCCATTTTAAATAAACACAAACTAACATATCAATGGAATAACCCATGTGGGGATCTGGACATCTGGAACTGAAGTAATTCACAGAGCTGAACTTACAAAGGTTGGGGGGTGAGGGATAAAGACCCGGAAACAGACTATGAATTCCAGATTTGGTAGAGACCGAAGCAACTAAACTGATACCATTTTTTAGGAAAGAGAAAACAAACTGGCCTTTGCAGCTTCTTCCTGCCTAACCCCATAGTCTCTCTCATGTTATTGCTCTATGGCTACATGCCCACCTTGAAGGAAGTGGCAGCTAGGGAACGGATGGAAGGCTGCTAGGGATGGAAAATCTTGTTTCACCGAGTCAAACCAGGGAGAGTGCCAAATGCTGAGTGCAAGATTCAGAACCCAGGTCTGCCTTAGTGCATAGATTCCTCTGGGAAGCAACCAGTTTGATTGCAAGAGCCAGCACTCAGGACAGAGGGTTCTCATTTTTAAATTAATTTTCCCAAACCAACCACCCCTCAATTTTGGTGATTTTTTAAATGAAATTTTTGGGAGCAAAAATGCTGTGTGCTTTTTTCAAATAAATCTTTAGTCAGCCTTGCTAATCACTTTCTCTTTTTAGTGTGCCACTCCCACTGATCGCTTCTTTGTCACATTAATAAAAGAATTACACACATACTTTACAGAATTAAAAAGGTGACTTAAAACCCCCCTACAAGGCTCAACATTCCACGCCCCCCCACCCCCAAACCCTTGAAAGTCAAAGTCAATCTCATGACTTCAATCAAAAAAAAAGGCAAATATGGCACAAAACAATGGAAATTAAGTTAAAAAACCTCAAATTTATAAATATTCTTCCACTGTACACATTTTCACAGGCCCACCCCACCCCACCCCTTTTTATTCACATTTCCTTTTCTTTTTTTCTTAAAACTCCCACCCCTATTTCTTTTTTAAAATCATAAAATATATATTTTTAAATCTTTGTTCATATTTAAAAATATTTACAGAAAAAGACAAGTTCCTTCTGTTGAGGTCATGAGGAGTCTGTACAAGGAGATGGTGGAGGGGGGTAGAGGTGAAAGTAGCTTCGCTCCGTGGCAGGAGATGGTGGGCAACTTTCTTCTGCCGACATGTACTGACTGCGAGGCGTTGGGGGAGGGGGGTAAGGGTCCGAGTCTGAGTTTAGGTCTATGTAGTACTTGTTGTTCTTCCACCGGCTTGTGGTGTAGTCACTGTCGCACACATCTGTGCTGCATGGTGTTGTGGGTGGAGCTATCCCTCGTATAAGGTAGGGCCTGAAAAATTAATGGCTCGGTATTAGCTATGCTTTAAAGCTCATTAAAAATGCTACAGCACAAATTTTAAACCATGGGTGAAAAAGCAACTGCATTAAGACCTCTGTTTATCCGGAGGCCAAGCCAAGGAGTAGATTTGGTGTTTTCAAAGGAGCCCAACAGAACTAGGTTCCTGGAAACATTGAATTTCAGTGGGATTTACCACCCTACCTCCTATAGGTTTCTCTGAAAATCCCAGCCTACATAAGCAGCAGCCTCCCCTTGGCTCACTCACAAGCCTTCCCTGGGCTCACTCCTAGCCCAACACAAAGTAGATCTGTAGATTCAAAAGGCCAGAACCATCTACTCTGCCCCCCTAAATAATACAGGCCATGTAGCTTCACCCAGCAATTCTTGTGATGGGAGGAAATATTTT